CGCGTCGTTGTCGTCGGCGACCAGAGCTCCGGCAAGACGAGCGTGCTCGAGATGATCGCACGCGCTCGCATCTTCCCCAGGTAGCGCCACCTACACACGCACGCACGCTCGCATCTTTCGCAGGTAGCGCCACCTACACGCGCGCGCACGCTCGCATCTTCCCCAGGTAGCGCCACCTACACGCGCTCGAATCGTGCCCAGGTAATGCCACCTACGCACACACGCGTCTGTCTGAAATCTGCCGTCCGATGTAAAAAGGAATACTTGGGATTAAAAAAATCAATGTGACGTTTAGCCAGTGCGGGATGTCTGAGGTCGTATTCCAACATGAAAGGAGAGTTACTCAAGTTGAAAAAATTCAACATTTCGCTAGCTGGGACATCTGAGGTTGCAGTCCAGTTATAAAGCATATTACTTAAGATAATAAAAAGGCAACGTTTAGCCAGTGGGGGAAGATCTGACGACTCGATCACTCGTCATCGCTACATGGGCAACGAATAACGTCTCTGTCAGCAGATCAAACACTTGAAACGACTGTTCGTCTGCTAGAAAATCTGTCCAGAAAAGCAATAAAAAGCGTAATTTCGCGAGCGTTGTTCCCAAAAGACATGTGTCCCTGTCATGCGTCGTCGTTCGCATGCGCTCGCACTCACACAGCGTAAGCGTTCACTTGTCGCTGCAGGGGATCCGGTGAGATGATGACTCGTGCGCCGGTGAAGGTGACCTTGAGCGAAGGACCGTACCACATCGCGTCGTTCAAGGACAGCAGCCGCGAGTTTGACCTCAGCGCGGAGTCGGACGTGAGTCGCTGTCCTAATACGCGCAGCGTCGAATAGCTGCTGTGTTTCACGTTGTTTATTAGTTACTCTGTTACGTGTTGTTTATTAATTAGTCTGATTATAATTACTCTTAGTTTGACATCAGCGCGGAGTCGGACGTGAGTCGCTGTTCTTACGCGCAGCGTCGAATAGCTGCTGTGTTTTACGTTGTTTATTAGTTGCTCTGTTACGTGTTGTTTATTAATTAGTCTGTTACGTGTTGTTTATTAATTAGTCTGATTATAATTACTCTTAGTTTGACCTCACAGCCACGTCGGACGTGAGTCGCTGTTCTTACGCGCAGCGTTGCATAGTTCCGTGTTGTTGAATAGTTACTCTATCACGATCACAAAGATGCTGCTGCTGATGATGATGATGATGATGATGATGATGATGACGATGATGATGGTGTTGATGATGATGATGATACATAAAAATCAGGACGTCTATCCAATATACTATATATATACTAAATATATATATATATATAAATATCAGGGTATATTGCATACACTACCTGATATATAGAATATATAATTATGTATAATATATATTGATAGACTCCTTGATAAAATCCTATACCCTCCCTCCCCTGGTTCCGCGTGCGACATGGGATGCGGCGTGGTGTACGTACCTGTTATGATGCCGGGGAGGTCGAATGAGGACCATGCGCTGCAGCCCGGTCCTTCACCGTCATCGCTATCGTCTCTCACTCGCTATATCGTCTTCCCTCTGGGACGACGCTGTTCTTCATCCTTTCAGCTCCACCTCCTTACGAAGCTTCGCCAACTACAATAGAGGAGAGTTAGGGCGCGGAAAGTCATTAGTTGTTGTCAATATCGGTTTGTAATTTCGCTAATCGCATCATCGCGTTGGACGCCGAATAACCGAGATTTGATCGGTTTCATCGGTTACTCCTGGAGGTGTTGAATTGTGCCGCGTGTGCGCTCAAAAACGTCCGCTGCGCATGTACGTGTGTCTGATGTATGTGCCTTGTTTACGCCTGCTATCTGTTTGTTTTGCACTGTTTACTACTGAGGGTCGTGTATAATAACGATGTATGTTAATTAAAGGATATTTCTTGTATAGTAGCCGATGATATCTTGATTCTCCATCACTTTTCCAAAGTTTTCTTCCGGCACTCCTTTAGCCGGCATCTCCGTTCAAATAAAAAAAAAAATTTGGGATTAGAATCGATATGGATTTTGATTAACCAAGCGCTGTGGTTTCTGAGGCACTGCTTCAAACCGATAATCGAGTATAATCGATGATCGTACATCGATAGGAATCATACACGGGCCCTGCCAGACTTGCTTGATCATGAAAATCAATAGTAAGGCTGTACTCTGGCAGATTGTTACTTTTTAACGCATCATTATTTCTCAGCTTTCTGTTTCTTGCAGCAGGCGGCCCATTTCGTTTGTATGTTATGCGCGCAAATGAATGTTAACTGCTAGATCGATGCGAGAACAAAGTGAACGCGGTGACTCCAATATGGCCTGCCGCCCCAATCGCGGATATTTCTCTGGCTCAGACAATGTAAAAAACATCTTAATTTTTCACCAAGGTGTGCGTAAAAAGAGTTCTCTCACAAGGTTTTTTCCAGTTTTGCCATCGTACATTTCGGTAAAAACATCTTTGGAAATTAGTAAGGAATACGAAACAACTACGTCAAGGCGTTGGCGCTCTCGCGATTACAGCGGGTTTGGGGTTCAGTGACAAGCAAGAGGAAACGGTGCGTTATCGGCAAGCACACACTCAGTGCCCTGACACTGCTGCTACTGTTGCTGCCTCATCCTCAGCATTCTGATGTATTGTGTCCATCATACACCATATCATCTCGTCATCATCATCATCATCACCATCATCCTATCATCACTCCATCATTCATCGTCATTCATCCATCATCATCATCATCATCACCATCATCATCATCATCATCACTTCATTCATCACCCATCATCATCATCACTCACTCACTCATCATCATCATCATCATCATCATCCGTCATCGTTCATCATCATTCATCATCACCATCATCATCGATCATGCATCCTTCTGTGATCGTTGCAATAGCAGTAACTAGTTCAACAACACGGAACTATGCAACGCTGCGCGTATTGAACAGCGACATCACCGTCGACTCTGCGCTGAGGTCAAACTAGAGAATTATAATCAGACTAACTCTCAATAAACAAACACGTAACCAGGCAGTAACTAATAAACAACGTGCCAAAACAGAGCAGCTATTCGACGCTCGCCGCGTATTAGGGACAGCGACTCCACGTCCGACTGCTGCGCTGGAGGTCAAATCTAAAGAGTAATTATAATCAAGACTAATTAATATTAACAACACGTACAGCTATTAATAACAACACGTAATCAGAGTAACTAATAAACAACGTGAAACATGAGCAGCCTATTCGTTTTTTTTTTTTCATTCTTTAGACGCTGCCCGGCGATATTAGCCCGCACAGCCCGACTCACCGTCCGCATCTTCCGCGCTCGAGCGTCAAACTTAAGATTAATCTATAATCAGCGAGCTAATTAGATAAAAACACGTACCAGATATTAATAAACCAACACCGTAACAGACGTTAACTAATAAACAACGTGGTGGCAACAGAGCAGGCTATTCGCACTGTCCTGCCGGCGTCAAGCAACAGCTGACCCTCACCGTCCGCACTCGCCGCTGAGTCAAACCAAGAGTATTAGTAATACAGAGTAATTAATAAACAACACGATAACAAGAGCTAACTAATAGCAACGTGAACAGTCAGAGCTATTCGGACGCTGCCGCTACCTAGCCGACAGCGACTCACGTCCCGAACTCCGCGCGACTGATGGTCAAACTCGCGGCCTGCTTGTCTGAACGACGCGACTGTGACGGTCCGCTCGCCCTCAAGCGTCACCTTCACCGGCCGCCACGAGTCATTCATCCTCACCGGGATCCCTGCCCAGGCGACAATCAGTGAACGACCTACGCGTGATCTGCATGTTGCGACGCGCGGTGCGGAGCGCGCCCGACCGACGCCCATTGAAGCGGACCACTGTCTTTTGGCAAACAACGCTTCTGCGAAATTACGCTTTTTGTTTGCTTTCTGGACAGATTTTCTAGCAGACGACAGTTCGTTTCAATGCTGTCTTGATCTGCTGCACAGAAGACGTTCTATCGTTTGCCCATGTAGCCGAATGCACCACTGTGTTTGATCGAGTCGGTCATATCTTCCCCACCTGTCCCTAAACCATTTCCCTTTTTTATTATGCTTAATAATATGCTTTATAACTGCGACTGCAAGCCCTCAGCAGCTCCCAGCTAGCGAAATGTGCAATTTTTTTTCAACTTGAGTATACTCCTTTCATGTTGCGAATACGACTCGGACATCCACCTCACTGGCTAACCC